CCCAGGGTGTGGTAAAAGCTGTCTTTTCTGCATCCTCTTCATCCATCAACACCTGGTGATATCCTGCGTAACAATCCACGAAGGACTGTTTCTCATGTTTGGTGCAGTTATCAACAAGGATGTGGATGTTCGGCAACGGGAAATTATCCTTAGGACTTGCTTTGTTCAGATCTCTGTAATCCACACACACTCGGGTTTTCCCGTCTTTCTTTGGCACTGGAACGACATTGGCTAACCATGTGGTGTATCGAACCACTCGGATCACCCCCGCTTTTAACTGTTTTGTGACCTCTTCCTTAATCTTGTCACTGATATTGGTTTTGAACTTTCTTTGCTTTTGTTGGATAGGGGGATGGTCGGGGTAAGTTGGCAACTTGTGAACCACCAAATCGACACTTAGTCCTGGCATGTCATCATATGACCAAGCAAACACATCTTTGAATTCAAACAACAGTTGGATCAACGCATCCCGAGTTTTTTCATCTGCGTGAATGCTTATCTTGGTTTCCCTGACTTCTTCAGAACTACCCAAATTAACCGGCTCAGTATCATTTAAGTTCGGCTTAGGTTTGTTCTCAAATTGTTCCAATTCTCGATTTATTTCCCTAAAAGCCTCTTCTTTATCATATTCCGGTTCTTGGTTCATTATTTCACAGTTAGACAGCGTGTTTGAATCTGGGCATGAAGTCCGCAAGCATGTCATGTTATTTAAAGCCGCATTATTAGAACTGAAAGAAGAAATAAAATAGAAAAATAACAAAAATCAGAAAGAATAAAGAAAGATGAACGATGAAATATTGATTTCATTTCTTTGAATTTGAAGATAACATGGTTTACATTGGAAGTTAAAGACGAGAAATTAAAGAAAAACATCCGAGTTACACCCTAAAATAACTCGCGATGCAGAAAAAGTGGTCGGATTGGACTACCGGGACTCCCGCCTGATTGGGAATGGGGTAGCCTTCCAATTTTGCAGTTTGGCACTGGGTCCCATGTATAGCACCTCAGCGGTGCTTGAGCCTTCCCCTGGTTGGACCATGTGGGCTTCATATAGCATCTGCCTCATAGCCCCACAGATTTCTTCAGTTTCCTCGGCCGTAAAGGCCTCATCTTCCTCTTTCTCATTGTACTTAGGCTTGACAAATGTCCTATACAGATGGGGAATCGGCTGAGGCAAGACCCAACCCTTGTTCTTTCTTTCATCCGCCTATTTTCCATCAGCTGATGTGGGTTGGAACCCTACCCCAAAGAACTTCTCACTAGCAGTCAGGGTGATGGGTTCAGCGATTCCTTGCAATGATTTCCCGAGCCCCTTCCCGGGCTTGTAGCCATGTCTGATCATTTCTTTGGCCACCATAATTGATGCATTTGAAAGAAAAGGTTGAGGGCAAGGGTTTCCTTCTTCACACTGGTCCGCGACCATAATCTCAAAAGCCTGATAGACTATATGTTCACTTCCTTTCTAGCTTCGAGGCAAGGGACTGACGGGTCCCGATAGATCGATTGCTCATCTTCCCCGTGAACTACAATCTCCTAATCCTCATGTTCGAATTTTACCATTTGGTGGAGAGTAGAAGTCACAGCCCCTGCTGCGTGAATCCACGGCCTTCCCAAGAGGAAATTATAGGAGGTATCCATGTCCAAAACCTGGAAGGTCACTTCGAAGTCCACCGGGCCGATAGTCACGATCAGATCAATCTAGCCAATTGTATCTCTTTTTATGCTGTCGAAAGCACGCACACAAACGTTGTTGGGTCTGATTCTCTTAGTACCAATTTCCATACGTTGCAGAGTTGAGAGTGGGCAAATATCTACCCCAGAACCACCATCTAGCATAACCCTTTTCACATAATACCCTTCGCATTTGACTGTCAGGTGAAGGGCTTTGTTGTGTGCGGCCCCTTCCGGGGGCAGATCACTCTTGCTGAAAGAGATTTGATTGATTGCAAAAAACCTTTCTGCCATCCTCTCCAACTGTTCTACAGTGGTTTCAATAGGCACATATGCTTCGTTGAGAGTTTTGATCAACACTTCTTGATGTTCAGTTGAGTTCATCAGCAGAGACAAAAGAGAGACTTGAGCAGGACATTTTTGAACTTGGTCGATTATCTCGTAGTCTGCCATTTTCATTTTCTGGAAGAATGCCTCTGCTTCTTCAGCACTCACTGCCTTCTTAGGTGGGAAACACTTCCTCGTGGCATTATTCACTTCCTCCAGATTGAGGTACTTCTCAGCCGGGTCATTTTCCTTAACTTCTCCCGAGATCTCTTTGCCTTTGTAAGTTACTACTGATTTGTTATAGTTCCATGGCATAACAGTGGGATCTGTCATGGGCCTTTGTGGCGCGCGGCCAATAACCACGGGCTCATTCAGCCTTGGTGGAATTATTGGCCCCCGCATCACGTAGGTCCCCTTGGGTACATACATTTGAGCTCCCTTGTTTAGCTCAAACCTCCTAGGAGTACTCAATGACATCTGCTCTTTCTTGCGGCCTCGGGGGACATAGAGAACGGCATCCTTGGAGGGTGCTGCCCCAGTTTCAACTTCCACTTTCTTTTCCTTCTTCTGAGGGGTGGTTTTGCTCTTTTTCTCCCCCTTGTCTTGTTCGCGACAGCTTTTGGTTTCTTTTCCACGTCGGCTATGGCAATGATGGCTTTTAGAGCTGGGTCAAACTCTTTGTCCTCGCAGATCATTCCAATAATCGGCCCGTTGTTGTGAGCCGGTAGTGGATTGTTGGTTACATTAGGAATATCTTCGTCCCTTAGCAATATTCTCTTTTGTTCTTTCAGATCTTCCACAGCCCTCTTCAAAGTCCAACAATTATCTATATCATGCCCTTCTGCCCTTGAATGATAGGCACACTAGTGCCATGTTGATATTGCCTATTCGGGGGTACGGGTTGCAACAAACCCATTTGGACCAATTTTGGGAATAGGCTAGAATAGGACTCACCAATGGATGTGAAGTTTGTTTTCCTTAGCGGCTCCCAGGCACGGAAGTTGTTTTGTGGAGGTCGGGGATTGTAGTGAGCTTGGTAAGGAGGTTGATTTCTGGGAAGTGGAGCTCTGTTCTGGTTAAACTGTTGTTGTGGCCTGACATAGGGTTGGGCATTCATCACTGTGTAGGGTTGAGGAGCATAAGCTACATCTTGGTGGGGATAGTAGTCTTGTGGGGTTCTTTCAGAGAAAAGAGATCTGGGTGGACGGGGTTTTCTTGCACTCGAAGTTGCCATTGCTGTTTCTTCCTTTTTCTTTCGATTTGCTACTCCTCCAGACCCGCCCTGGATGGCTTGGGAGATAGCCCTTATAGCAGACTGACTCAAGATTCGCCCTGTTTTCAACCCATTTTCAACAATTTCACCGATTTTGATGGCTTCGGCGAACGGCTTACCCATCGCAGACATCATGTTTTGATAATAATCGGCCTCTTGGGCTTGAAGGAAGACACTGACCATCTCTGTTTTGTCCATGGGAGGTTTAACTCTAGCGGCTTGTTCGCGCCACTTGACAGCATACTCTCGGAAGCTCTCTGAGGACTTCTTCTTTAGGTTTGACAATGAATTCATGTCACGAGCGATGTCAATGTTATATTGGAATTGCCTGACAAAGTCCCGAGCCAGGTCGTCCCAGATGTGCCAGCGAGATATATCCTGATCCATATACCATTCTAAAGCAATACCGACCAAACTTTCTCCGAAGTAAGCCATGAGCAGCTCTTCTTTTCCGCCCGATCCCCACAGTTGGCTGCAATACCTTTTGAGGTGGGCAAGGGGATCCCCATGCCCATCATATTTCTCAAACTTCGGGGTTTTGAAACCCAAGGGTAGATGTACGTGTGGGAACATGCACAGGTCAGCGTAAGATACGCTCTTTTGCCCACTCAGACCTTGTATATTCTTGAGGCTTTGCTCCATGCTTCTCATCTTTCTTGTAATCTCCTCTTGTTCATGGGTCTTTGCAGTTTTCTCCTGCCCTACGGTAAACTCGTACCGAGGCGGCTGAGGATAAGCACTAGTAGCAAACTGGGTTGGTTCCATTGGGAAAGATGGTGCTTGAAAGGTGAAAGAGGACGGATCGAAGCTAGGCCTGTGTAGGGTAGGTTGTGCCGTAGCTGAACAAGGTGGCGCAGTGAATATGTTTGAAGCCGCACCTGAAGCTAACACCTGGGGGCGAGCCTCAGAAGGTGTTCCCACAAAGTTGGCGGAAATGGTAGGATATCCCAGTGGGGTGTTTGGATAGTTTATGGGGATGTTGGAGGTCCCACTTGCCCTGGGAAAAAGCTCGGGAAATCCAGGGATTGCACTTGGTAGTTCTTTTCCGTTTGCCCAGGCGTCCCATATTTCCATCATGCGGAGACGCAGAAATCTATTTTCCTCGGCAGCTGTCGATTCTGAAGTTGGGATGCCCGAGATCGGACTATCATCCGTAATAGGAACTGTTGGCAGAGGCATTCTGAAGACATTTCAACGCTTCCTTTCAACCTCGTGAAGTATGGATGCGAAGCCAGGCTACCACAAAACCAACCACCTTACCATAAAACCTGGGCTTAACAGTAGACAACAAACTGGTCAGTTTGGAGCAAATAACACATAGGTAATCGCACGTTGGGGTGTGATGCACCTATACAATTAAATGTGTTTCTACATGTTTTGCGACGGTTGCATGTTTCATCCCGGCTTTGCTTACTTTTCCCAATTTTCTTTTCTTTCCACTTTGGCTTTTGTTCTTCTATTCTCATTTTCCACTCTTTTTTTCCATCTCTTTGCTTGCTCTCTTTTCGTTTTTCTTCTGGTTTTTCTTTGGCTCTCTTTTCTTTCTTTTTGGGTTTTTCTTTTCACATCCCTCTCTTATTGGAGTTATTTACAAAAATCATGACCGGATCCGATGAGGATTGCCTACGTATCACGACGCCGCGTGAATCAGATCATAACGTAGTTCAAGAAAGTAAATGCGAAAAATAAAGAAACAATTTTTGGGAATTTTCAATTTTCATTAATAAAACTGCTAAACTTTTCTATTACAAAAGACTTCAACCTACTCATTTCTTGGAATTTTAAAAACTACAAACAGACTCAAAACAACTTTTAAACTAACAACTGAGATACAAACTCGATAAATGAAAAATCATGAATACATCAATGCTTCAACTCCTGGGGCCCGTGGGACATCATTCGGTCTCGCCACGGGCCTACGTGCGAGATCCCCTTGAAGCCGCTCCAAATCACTCATTATCTGGCGGACAAATGTCATTACTGCAGCGAAGAAAGTGGTTTGAGTCATGTCCTCACATGCCTGGCATTTCATGACGATGTAGTCGGCAATGGCTCTAACCCTCTCTCGGACAATACCCTTTTCCTGAAGCAGGCGCCCGATTTGCTGATTCCGGGCTTCTAGCACCTGAGTGTCACGCTGGCTTTGATTTTGCAACTGTTGCATATCTTCCTCCATCTGAGCCATCAAAGCATTATAATGTTCCCTATCGGCTTTTAAGTTCCTAGCCTGTTTGTCTGTCTCATTTCAAGGGTGGTTAGCTTCTTCTTCAGATTGGTAATTGTCCCCTCATATTTTCTCTTCATTTGTTGCATAAACTGTGCCCGCCCTTCTACATTCTTTGCCAATTTGGCCCGGACCTTTGCTAGACTGGCCTCAGATTTTTCTAGGTCATCTTGACACTCAAGTACTTTCTTTCTCAAACTGCTTATAAGCCTTTCATCTGCTCGGCTCCTTTCCGGGTTTCTAGCAGCTATTCTCATTTTCTGGATTTGAGCCTTGAGGGCTTCGTTTTCCTGAGTTAACTTTTTCTTTTCCCCTTCATCTGTGACAGCTTGGATATTATTGCCAAATTTGAGGTCCCTGATTTGTCCCTCTAATTTACTTATTTTGTCCCTATAGCTTTCTTCTTTTGCAACCAGCCCCACTGCTCCTGCGAGTCATTAGTGAATTATTGAACATGAGGTCTATTAGCAGGTCTCTCAGGAATCTGAAACCTTTTACCGAACCAAATAATGTACTTGGGGTCTACCTCATCTCTAGCTAGATCCCGCACCATAGTCTTAGGTTCAAGAAATCTACATTCATTCCACACTTGGCGAACTCTTCCTTCCAGAAATACGGCCTTTGGGCCCAATTCGACGACATGTCTACTCAAATCTTCGTCATGCGGAACGGTTTGAAATCTGCCCAGTTGGCGCAAAACCCTGTGAGGAGCATATGGCTGAATGCTCTGAATGCCCATCAGGAGAAGATAACACACTTCGGCTGACATGTATATTGCTTCGGTGACAGGGAGCCATCCGAACACCCACTCAATCTTATCAGAAGTTAAAGAACTTAAGTGTGCAAACCAAGCTTCGGTATCCTCGGGAAATTCAACACCCACCCCTCGGCTTTCAAATTCTTCGATGCAATTCAAATCGGTCATACCGTAGTTCATATACCCGACACGATGGCAGAGATGTTCCTGTATCCACAATTGTAGTAGTAAGTTGCAGCCTTGGAAGAATTTTCCCCCTTCTCGACAAATGGTCAAAGCTCGGTAAATCTCAGATAAGATCAGGGGAACCAAGGTGCCATTAGCTTTCTTGATTGCGACATCAACCATTACCACGAGGCCCAATTCTATGTTGCCGTCTTTTCGTGGACAAATTATAACACCCAAGAATGCTACTATAAAAGCCAAACCCCGCCTTGCCTCCCATTTATCTTTATTTCCGGCATGGGTCAGACCAGTATTCGGTGCTTCAAAACCTTGGGGGTTACCATAGCGTTGATACAAGAACTGGAAAGTGCAATACCCTTCAGACAAATTCACATCCCGAATATCCCGGCTAATACTCAACATGTCCAGAAATTTATGGGGAGATACCGGTCTTGGTGACACAGGGTACCGACTTCTAAGGTTTCCACTGAGGTCGGCATAACCCGCAATTTCCTCTAGCGTGGGTGTGAGCTCAAAGTCAGAGAAGCGGAACACATTGCGAGTTGGATCCAAAAAAGGTATCATGGCTTCAATCACGTCCAATCTTGGCTTGATGTTCAAAAGTCCGATAAGACCACCCAAAACCTTTACCACGGTTCCTCTACTGCCTTTCCCTAAATCGTTCCACCACAAATGGAGCTGTAAGGGGATCTCTTTAAGAGCTGCGAAGGGTTCATTTTCATCTGTGCTCATCATGCACATTTATTAGGGTGATTTAATTAAAAGAAAAATTATGACTCATTTTGACTCAAAAAAAAAGTTAACACTAATATTTTTTTCAAAATTTTCATAAAAAATCCGGCTTTGCAAATACGGCCTTTCAGCACTTCGAGGAAGAAGATTTTAAGGTTGTATTTGCTAACCGGCCAAAACCTTTAAAAAAAACGACCAAAGGTGGTTGTTCTTGCAAAACGGCCTTCCGGCGCCTTTTTGGGGACATTCGGCTATTTTAGACAAGAATGGCATCACCCTGCTTATTTATAATAAAAATAAATTTTTTGTTCTTTTTGGGCTATTTTTGCAAAAAAAGGGAAGTTGGACCCGATGGGGGTTGCCTACATATTCCACATCCGGTGAGAATTAAACTGGCGTAGTTCGGGCAGATAAAAACAACTATTTTAAAAAAAAAATTCTTCTTTTTTTTTCGAAATTTCGGCAGAGTTTCAGTACATTTTTTTTTTTTTGGTTTTTTTCAGAAAATAGGCAGTTATCTCTCTTAGCCCTCACATTGACTTTTCTTTTCTCATTATCCAACAAGCCGGTCAACATGCAAATCCGAAGCAAATAAATACACAAGTAGCAAGTAGGATGCATCAGGATGGTCATTTCATTTCGGGTACACCTGTCCTAGACAGACCCAACCCCTGTGTTGAGTCTCCAAAGTCAAATGCACGTGATGCAAACAAGCGTTCCTACTCGGGATCCGGCATGAGGTTTTATTATACTAGGTTTAAAACCTGGGTTTATTGTTCTAGACCTGGCTTACCCGAGCGGACAGCTCGAGCCGAGGGGGGGGCAGCGTACCGGAAATACAGAAGCTTCACCGGCTTTGCAGCTTGTCCGAACCTCGTTCTAAAATTGGATAAGACTCTAAACAGAAGAGAAGTCACACGAAGTGCACACTCCCCAGATGATTTAGAAGACTTAGAGAGAAGAAGGATTTCGTAGCAATTTATATATAGTTCACACAATATCAAAGCGGTAAAAGCAGCATTTAGCACATTAGGCTCAAACAGGTAGAAAAATCAGATAACAGATAAAGCCAATCATAACAGCTATTCTAAGCTCGAATTCTTGAACCCTCAACCGAAGTTCTGGATTTGTATCCCCAGCAGAGTCGCCAGAGCTGTCACACCTCCTTTTTACACACCCCGAGAGGTAATAAGGGAGTTTTTCAAATTAAAGTGACATTATTCGAAATGGGATTATTTATTCATTTTTTGTTCAGAGTCGCCACTTGGGATGGTATGTTTTCTGGTGTCCCAAGTCACCGGTTTATTTTTAAATCCCAGATCGAGGAAAAATCGACTTTCCTTTTGAAGTCTGCGAACCAGAAATTCTGAATAAGGAATTCTGTTAACCCGAGGGAAGGTGTTAGGCACCCCGGGATTCCGTGGTTCTATCACGGTCGCTTAAACTATCATAATTGGCCTATTATCTGATTTTTATACATGTTTTAGCCTATGGTACATTTTTAACTTATTAAACCGCTTTTAATTATTTTTAAGGAAGATGTCAACGTCATCTAAAATACGTCTTTGGACCACGCCACATGAAATGCACCCGCAGTCCGCGACATATTTTATTTAACGTTGTTGAGAATTGGAGTTGGGTCACATGAAATGCACACCCGAGTTTAGGAAAGTAATTTTTTAAAACAGCGCGCCTAAAAGCAACTACGCACTTTCAACTTTGCGAGGGCCATGGAAAATTCAATTAAATGGCGCACCTCAATTTTTAAGGATTAAAATATTAATTAAGCGAAGGCCATGCACTTTGAAATTTTATTTGTCATGGCGCACCTCAATTCCAATTTTAAAGGGAATTCAAACTAAGCTTTTGAGGGCCATAACTATGTCTTACTTAATATGGCAAGCGTCAAATCTACTTTTAAGAGGACTAATTAATTAAACTAAAGGAATTGAGATTTTTGTCTAATGCTAGATAAAGGGCTTGTGTCATCATAAACAATTAATGGAAGCTTGGGCTCAACAAAAACGAAACAAGTTCAAGTCCCATTTATGAATACCTTCGAACTTGGGCTCAAAATGAGCCAAATTATGATGAGAGAATGGACGACCAAACGGCATAGAATCATGCACTCAGGTCTGAGATTGAACTCTCATTAACTGGGTCAGCTTTAGGCCCAACTTTCAAAACCAACAATTGTACAAAATCCATTAAATGCCAATCAGCTAAGACTATATGGAACATGTGATTAAACTAACATTTTGCTTCTGAATTTTAACTGTT